CAATTTTTTTAAAAAATGTCCCGTAAAACATTTAATAAAAAAATGTTGGCCTTATCGTGACAGAAAAAAATGGCAATGCACAGCCCTACTGTTTGACATGGAAAATTTTGTAATAAATTCTAAGTTTTCAATACAAAAAGAAATTTTAGCAATGCTTGCATAACAAGCATAACAAGCAAATTTGTTGAATTTATATCCCCCGCCGAGTACTGGTTATTATTAACACAACAACTGAAGACATAAGGCTTTATTTATATATTAATCATGGCATAAACAGTAATATTCTTTGAACTTGATAAATATTCAGGGCAATAACAGAGCCATAACTTTGTGTTAAATAGTAAAATCTGGAAATGCCAATGAGATGTATGCATACTACATAACTAATCAAGGGCCATAAATCTGAGTTATAAGAATCTGACTGGAACAAGGCGACTATATGCACATCTCCTCTTAGTATCCCATAAATATGGATACTGCATAACTAATCAAGGGCCATAACTCTGAGTTAAAGTGTCTGACCGGAACAAGCTGACGATATGCACATCTCCTCTTGGTATTGAAGGTTCCCATAAAGTTTCGTTGAATTCCAGCCAGTAGTTGCAGAGAACTACTCCGGAAACGATTTTTACTCTATATGCATACTACATAACTTATCAAGGGCCATAACTCTGAGTTAAAGTGTCTGACCGGAACAAGCCGACGATATGCGCATCTCCTCTTGATATTGATGATTCCCATAAAGTTTCGTTGAATTCCAGCCAGTAGTTGCAGAGAACTACTCCGGACGCGATTTTTACTCCATATGCATATTGCATAACTAATCAAGGGCCATAACTCTGAGTTAAAGTGTCTAACCGGAACAAACCGACGATATGCGCATCTCCTCTTGGTATTGAAGGTTCCCATAAAGTTTCGTTGAATTCCAGCCAGTAGTTGCAGAGAAGTAGCGCGGAAACGATTTTTACTCCATATGCATACTGCATAACTAATCAATGGGCCATAACTCTGAGTTAAAGTGTCTGACAGGAACAAGCCGACGATATGCGCATCTCCTCTTGGTATTGATGATTCCCATAAAGTTTCGTTGAATTCCAGCCAGTAGTTGCAGAGAACTACTCCGGAAACGATTTTTACTCTATATGCATACTACATAACTTATCAAGGGCCATAACTCTGAGTTAAAGTGTCTGACCGGAACAAGCCGACGTAATGCGCATCTCCTCTTGATATTGATGATTCCCATAAAGTTTTGTTGAATTCCAGCCAGTAGTTGCAGAGAACTACTCCGGAAACGAAATTCGGACGGACGGATGGACAGACGGACGGACGGACAACGCCAAAACTATATCCCCCTCCCGATTCCATCGGCGGGGGATAACAATAACATGATAATTATGTCTTGTAGCTATCAGGGTCTTGTAGCTATTAAGAAAATACATGTACCCACTTTGTAAACATTGAAATTTTATTATAGCATATTCGTTATATTGATGATTTAAAGACAAACAACTTCTATTTAAGGTGTCCCTTTTAGCAGTTTTACCTTTGACTTTATAACTTTTGTTATCATTTACAAATTTACCAGGGTCCAGGACTTCAAATAGAATGGTCTGGAAACGCGCTATATAAACCTTTCGTGCTACAATTAAACATGTCTCGGTATAACTACAATTAATGATAAATAACCCTAATAACTTGACTATGCCGAGACATCTTTTTTCGTAAAATTGGTCTGACTCCGGACCATTCTATGAGGGTTGTCCCAAAATATCGTAGACAAAGTCTGTTACTCAATCAATTATAATACAATAGAGTCCTCCAGCTAGGAAAAAGTCAATACACCTTTTATGTGTGTCTATGAGAAATAAAATCAAAATACCTCCAAAATTGACCAAATTATCAACATTTAAAGAATGCTACCTTTACATACCCGGCACACGCCGTCATAAACGTCATGACGTTATAAGATTTTTTAAAATGTTTTTCAAAGTATTCACCGTGTTTCGCGATGCACTGTCAGTGTATCATAAACGTTTTCAAAACAGTCCTGCTTCAATGTACTCAACACTCGCAGAATTGAGTTTCCTAGGGGAGTTTGTTGAAGTTTTTGAACCTTTGACCTCGTAATTGTGATTTCAAATAAGGAAACACTGCAAGTCTTAGAACGTATGGAAGTCTCTGAAAACCTATCACATCAAGTTCAATCTGTGTCTCCTGAGATCTATCGCAAGGTGCATTATCTTGATAAAATATAATGTTCTCCATGTTGTCAATTAACGCTGGATGCTTCTTCAACTTAACACAGTATTATTGCGTTGCACCGCATTTTCATCTGACGTGGCCATTTTGGGCATTTTCAAAATAGCACTGCTGTTATGTATTATGCAACAGACTTTTTTTCAAATTAACGTTACATAAACGTCTGTTGGTGATATGACGTAAAAATGAATGACGTAATTCCACATGAATGTTTTTCCCATAATTATTATTATGCTAGAAGTTAAAGGCATTATTTTAAGAAGCATGCTCTCAATACTGACTAATATTTTATCGTGCTCCGGGTATGTTGTACTGTTAAATATAAAACCCTGATAAAAAGCGTTACCTAATATATTGGCTATGGATTTAAAGTAGATAAATTAACAAATGATCAAGGGAGATATCTGGTAAATTTTATTAAGTTATGAAGTCAGGTTGAAAAGAAAATAATGTAGTCTACAACATTTTGGGACAACCCTCGTATTTGAAAGACCCTGAAATTAACCTAAAAATTAAAAAACTTTCCTCATTCCTGTACATTTTATAATAGAAATATCCTACATACATTTTATTTTACAGTGGCGATACTATCCCTTACATTTTATTATAGAGCTATCCTTAAAATTTTATTTTAGAATGATCAATGAGATTCACTTATTACAGTTTGTAGTTTTAAAATGACCGATGAAAAGTCTTCTTCCCTGTTAATTTTACAGGAAGTCAAACTGATAACAGACTTGACTTTGTGCGAAAAATACCATGTAAGTCTGCTTGAGTAAGGCTAAGAATAAGAGTCACTGATTTCCCTTTGAACATTTGAGTTGGGCGATCATCTGTAAAAGTCAATCAGTTTACAGATCAATTAATCAATAAAAGACAATAGGTTCAATTTCATTAAGATTGCTTGATTGAAGAGTATCATATAATGATATATTGATAAGCATTAGTCAGCCATTAAACCTAAATAATCAAATAAATCAAATTTACAAAAAGGTCAGTCTGAAAATGAATTATAGTTACTTATCATTGATAAAGCACATAAAACTCAATAATGAACTTTGGACTTCTGGAGATATCACAAAAGAAATTTTCTACTAAGGGTTTTTTATTTGTTTGGGTCGTCAGACCGGACCAAACAAATAATGGTAGCGAAATTTCAGACCCTGAATGGCCTGATATGCTTATTTGCAGAATCAGAAAGTAGTCTGAACTCCTCAAAGCAGTTACTTCCCTTTATTAGTACATTAACACCGAAAAATTTAGGGGAGATCACTGCGTAAAGGTTGTCAAATGACAGGCGCATTAATTTTCAAGCCTTCTTGGGGAAGACAAAATAGTTCCGGATTGGTTGAAGATTTCTAGTATTTAGGAAATAGATATCAATTCTGAGTGCATTGTTGTAGAATAATGCATGGTTTGAGTTCAAATGCATAGTAATATAATCACGAAGGCCGATTAATTAATTACAAAGCATTTGAACGAAAACCGTGCATTATTATACAATAATCATGATAATGCACGAAGAATTAATATCTATTTCCATTCTTACACGTCAAGAAAAATATAATTATTATTATAAAGTTGGACTTTATGTTAAGTGGTTAAATTTGTTTTCGCCTCAGAGTTTCCAATAGAAACGTTCTTTAAGGGTTGGAAAAAAACTGTCGTTAAATCTACCGTGTGTAGAAACATTTTGAGAATAACGAATTTTGAAAACATTGATAAAACTTTGTATGTTTATTTTATTTCACTCTATAATATTTCAAGCGGAAAACAAATTATTAAAAGCGAAATAATGTAAAACTTAACTCGTTTGCGACATTAAAATAGCGTACTTGATTTGATTGTTTTGCACGTGCTGTTTGGCGTTACATTGTGACGTCACGTAACAACATTTTAAACGTCTGTACAGGGTTAACGACTGAATTAAAAATATTGGTGTTCAACTTAATTTTCTTAGTTACACCATTTACTTTTATTCTAGATAGTTTTCACAACATATTCGACAAAAAATTGTTTTTATTTATGTCATTTTTCAAACAAAATGGCGCCCACAATGTGAAAATACACAGGGAGATAATAAGAACGGCGAGTGCATTGTTGTAGAATAATGCACGCTTCGGGCCTTCTTTGTTTATATAGAAAAATTTCCGATAGTGTTAGAATGTGTAATTCTTTACAGATAAACATGCTTATATAAGCTCCATGATTATTTACATGAGTGTTTAACAACAGATTTACCGTAAACAAAATATCTCGAAATTAATAAGGGTTACAAAGTGACTTAACCCTAATTTACATTGTAGAACCTAATTTAGAACAATGTGGTTTTCTTCAGACAGTTATCTTAAAACTTCCCCGTGACCAAGGGGTTACACGCTTGTTAAGGAAGCGAGAGGTCTGGAGTTCAAATCCCAGTTACGGCAACTCATGTCTTTTTGCTTTTGTTGTTATTTTTTTAAATTGTTTAAGTCAAATAAACATTGAATTGAATATCAGTGTTGCAATTAGTCTTATAGCCAATTTACTATAGTTATAACACTGGGAACAGCATTGGTGGCACTATACAAAAACAAATTGGTTTATAATCTCACAACCTTCACCTTTCAGACATCTGAGACCCAAACAAATTCAGCGCCTTCTGTGCTTTGATTTTAACAATCAAAACATGGATAATTAATCAGTTAATGACACTAGAAATATTAACCTGTAAACATTTGTTAGAAAATTCAAAATACCTTTTGACAAATGGAAACTTTAACAAGACTGTTAGTCCATTATTACTCCTCAGTGTACATGATAGAATAACCAAAATAATAGAGCCCAGCCTTCTCTGGCTTCAGCTGCTGAGACTGACACGTGATGTGCATAATTATGCCAATAAAACGTTAAATTACTTTTACCTCCACTCATTTGAAAATCATAATTCCATTACAGTTCTTAAATTGATATCAACTTTTTAAATGTATATATCTACATCAATCTTATAGATCTAAAAAAAATATTTACAAAAATAATGTGCATTGAAAATTAATAGCCGAGGATATCCGCAAGATGGCCGCGCTCATGACTCGCCGTGGTCTGATTAGACATTTGGGTGATTTGAACAAAGTTCTCTCTTGTCAGGTCAAAGATTTATCATATTGTAGAAGAAAATATACTTTGTCTGTTATTGACAGGCATTTCAATTCAAAACTTCTTTTTAATACCTGTATAATACCATCAACAAGACATTTTTGCGACCGAGTAGGTCAGGAACACAAGAGGTCAACTGGATCTGATGAAACTAACACCGATGGCAAAGAAAAGACTGATGAGAAAGCTGACAAAGAAAAAGCTGCCAAAGCAAAATTTTGGAAGAAACTTATGATTGGTGGTGTTGTTGTATGGATTTCTTGTGCATCTTCCTTGGCAGTATTGGAGTTAGGTATACAGTACCTAGTCATTATCATGAAACATAAATGCTCTGTCAAATACAAGAAAAGTTTTGCCAAATGCAAAGTTTTTGGATATCAGTGGAAGTCATGTGTGTCACTTCCATCTTTTTTAAGTTTTACACAACAATACGTGAAACCACTATTATAAGGGATAATTAAATAGTTTTAATCAATTGATTTATTTAGCTGTTTAGTTACAATGTATTTAATATGAATTTAGGCAAAGCCTTTATACGCAGAAGTTGGTTAAGAAATTGTTCATTTGTCTGTTTTTAAGGTGTCATTATGAATTTTATGCACTGCTTCCGGATCTGATTTCACTTGGAATACACGATGATTATTATTAATCCCAGAGTTGCGATTGTTGGTAATCGGAATACCCCGCCTAATATGAAATTAATTAGGCAAAGCCTATCAATGGGAAAGTGGGTTAAAAAAATAATTCCTTTGATATTTTATGCACCGCTTCCATTTTCACTTGGAATACTAGACGATTATTATCAATCGCAACTTTTCGTCCCTTTCCTGACCAATCCGCCGGCTTGTTTTAAACTCGAAACATGGATAGAATTAATCATTCAATGACATAGAATATACGGTAACATTTGTTAGAATTCAAAATCCTTTACAAATGACTTTACAAGACTTTATCCATTATTACCTCAGTGTACATGAGAAAACCAAAATAATAGGCCAGCTTCTGGCTTCAGCTGCTTGAGACTGACACGTTGATTGATAATTATGCCAATAAAACGTAAATTACTTTACCTCCATATTTGAAAATATTCATTACAGTTCTTAAAATTGATATCAACTTTTTAAATGTATATATCTACATCATTTATAGATCTAAAAATCATTTACAAAAATGTGCACTGAAATTAATAGCCGAGGATATCCACAAATAGGCCCGCCGTACTTCGCCGCTGTCTATTAGACATTTAGTATAAAAAATTTCCTTTGTCAGGTCAAGATTTATTCTATTGTAGAAAAATAACTTTGTCTGTTATTGACAGCATTCAATCAAACTCTCTTTTAATCCTGTATAACCATCAACAACATTTTTGCGACGAGTAGTCAGGACACAGAGTCAACTGGATTCTGATGAAACTAACACCGTGGCAAATAAAACTGATGAGAAGCTGACAAAGAAACTGCAAAGCAAAATTTGCCAGAAACTATATTGGCTGGTGTTGTTCGTATGGATTCAAATGTGCATCTCCTTGGCATATTGGAGTTAGGTATACATACCTATCATTATTCATGAAACATAATGCTCTGTTAAACAGAAAGTTTTGCCAAATGCAAAGTTTTTGCACCAGCTTCCATTTTTTAATTTACACTGTGAAACGACTGGGATAATTAGAATAGTTAATCATGATACTAGACGATTATTATGCACTCAATCACTTGACGATTATTATATCAATCGCTAATAGAATTAATAGCAGCCTATCAATGAGGGCGTTAAATAAATATTCTTTGATATTTTATGCACCGTTCCATTTTCACTTGAATTACTAGACGATTATTATCAATCGCAATTTGTCCTTTCCGTCCATCTGCGGATGAAGACCTCGAACACAATAGAATGAATACACAGAGCGGGAATGGTATTTCGTTCTAACCTACGCTTACAAATTAAACATGTAAAGAAAAAGTAAATAATTGCTGGGAGTTGTTGACAAGTTTATTTCCAATATATCAAGTAAATGTCTGTTGACATTAAAATGGTTTTGTTTAAAATTATACATATACATTTTGTAACCTCTTTTTTAGTACTTCAGTAATCATTTTTCTTTGAAATATCTTTCTTGTATATATCCTGATGAAGGTCTTGAAAGACCGAAACCAGTAGAATAAACCAGTTACAAACCATCCTGATGTTTAATGTGTGTTCTCTCCTTCTCTTGATTTACTTGGTAATGTAAAATTATACATGAAAGGGCATTTTTTAATTAAACAATGTTGTCATATATAGTTTTAATCATAATTGTGTCGCAACATACTTTTTTTCCTTTGGCTTTTAAATATATATACATTCGTTTTACTTCTGTTTAAATTCTGAAACCACGTGGTAGAACTACTTTCAATCTGTAATGTTTCCGAGGTTATTATAGATAATAGCCGAGGACGTTCTGATTGGATTATTATTAATCCAAAAAGTCCCGATTGTTCGTTATCAGAATAGCCCATCTTTTATCATTGAGTCAGTGACATTGGAAAATGGGGGCGCCCGACTAGAACTGACACTGAAAATTTCATTGATAGGTATAGAATTCTATTGATTCTTCAATTGTTTTTTATTTGACTTTCTTTTAAATATACACTTGTAGTCTATAGCTGGGCAAGCCAAAGCCGGTGCCTGCTTCATGGTCTTGGCTTTGACTTTATCGTATTATTAGTTAATGTGAAAGTAGGCAAAGCCTGTAATCTAATCATAGCTCAGATATTGACTAGTCTAAAATTTTCAAAATGGTGGCACCCTGCTAACTAAGGATTTCTCTCAAACCTGTAAGACTGAGATATATTTCTATGGGGAAGTCATAGGGCATGGCTATAGACTACATACGTATTTAAGAAAATAAAATAAAAAACAATCGATGAACCTATCAATGAAATTTCGGTTCTAGTCAGGTGCCGCCGTTATAAGCGGGGTATAACAAACAACTTTTTGGATTAATAAATTAATAATCGTCGAGTAATCCAAGAAAAACGGAAGCAGTGCATAAAATGCCGAATGACACCTTTGCCCACTTAAACTTAAAGATAATCCTGAAAACCTGTATTATGTATTTTTTTATGAAGTTGATAGTATGGAAAAGAAAAGAGAAATTTAATGAAATTATTATTTCTACCAATTATAGTGATTGTCAGTTTGTCCTTCCATTAAAATGAAATATTTTTTGTTTATAATAATTTTATGCTAAAAATGACAGTAATTGTTCTGTTTATCAATGCAAAACATAGTCGTATCATCTTTTTTTTCCAGGAAAACCTATAGAAGATGCTGATGGTCACCCAGTAAGTAATTTTTTGTGTCAGTTGTTAAATTGCAATGATACCAGTTATATGTTCAAACACTGCTACCTAAGCCCCTGTAAATAGCAGGGATTTACTCTTTTGAAATATCAACCTTGCAGGAACAGACTGATGGTAAAATTCCATTGAAAGTTCCTGCTCTGCAAGTTGGACATATCGGATTATTCAGGCTGTTTTAATGCTAGAACAAAGCGTTAGCCACTTCATTGATTTGACTTTGGGGTGATAGACATAAGTTGAAAACTTGGCCTCAGTTCCTATTAAGGCCCCCACGATTACACGTTTAAACGGATTCGTTTCGATTTTCATTCGTAAACGTTTACGATATTTTCTACCGTTTAATCGAAATGACCATATTGTCTTACAAACTTTCTTAATCATTGCCTATTATCATTGATTTTATCAATTCTAGTGGTTTATTCCAAAGTAAAAAAACAAAAAATGGATGTGTACAACCCTCCACACAGCATTTCCGTGCAAAACTTGCTCGTGACATAATACATTTTTGGTAAAAAATGAAGATACAATACAGAAAATATGTGCTGACTCAATCGTGATGAGCCCTGGACATTCTTTATTTGTACATGTATTAAAAATAGAAAGTAAGTCATCATTTGGCGACATATATATATTGTGTATATAGTACATAGAGGTACCACCGTTTAAACGGTATCGTTTCGGTTCTTAGCAATTGTGTAAACGTTTACAAAAAATTGTAAACATGGGAGCCTTAGTTGCTATGCACTTGCCCAGGTGGGTGGTGGTGTTGATTGCAATTACCTAATGCATAAAATCAAGTTGCATATGCATGTTTTCAAGTCAATAGATACATTTTTATGATTTTAAATTTTTATACTAAATATATTTCCCATGTAATTTATTTTTGTTAATATTTCTTTGCAATAATTCTATAAATTTATTATTTCAGATTGAAGATGCTTACTCCAAATGTAAGTATAATGCAAATATTGAATCAGAAAGAGATATATTATATCAGGGCTCTCATTTCACGAAATTTAGTGCTGAAATTTAGTACCATTCCCTTCCCAAAACAGTATATACTTTTCCCTTATTTTTTTTAAAAGAAAATCCACTCTAAAAAAAAGTGAAAAAAAATTAGGGATTTTTTCCAGGATTTTGGGAACATGACCCATACCCATGGGATTGGGAATCTCAGCGATGTTTTGTGAAAAATTGGGAAAAAATATATGACTGAAATATTGCAGTGATTAAATGAATGAAAACAATTACTGTCTATGATAGCATCTTCAAACATTAAAGCATTATTACAGTAAAGAAGCCCTTATTTTCAAAGATTTTAGAATTCTTTATTCAATATTTTTATTTTGTAACTTTCAATTGGGAATACTTTCCTGTGGATTGAGAAAATAATATACTATAATTTTCAATTGGGAATATGACCCAATAACGGCTATACAACAAGCCAAAAAAATCCCTGAAAATATTTTTTTTTTACCTGCCTATACCTGCCAAAAGCAGGAGACCCTTTACAATATCCTATTAATCTTTGCCTTTTTACAAAATAGAATATGTAATACTTAACATTTTGATTATTGTCACTATTGTACATGTAACAAAAATTGCCTGAATTTTCCTGAAAATAATGCGAAAAGTCCCTCCCGCTTTGGAGGCTGCTTGTCCTTCCATCAAAACGTCTCTTATGTAGATAATTTTTGCAGTGCCTTCAGTTTTTTTTATCATTTTATATATTTGATATAAAGGTACTTTACTTAAAGTTTTACTATCCTTAGATTGGGTTTGAGGTAAATGGCGTTATAAACAATATGTTTGAGCCACATTTAAGTCATAGTGGAATTAAGAGCATCAATTTGATTTGAAATTAACATGCATGTTCTTTTGTGTAATATGTTATTTATGTTATGAATTTTTTCTTGTAGATAATGTGTTATATGCATACTTGATGAGAACTTACAGAGAAATATTTTTTCAAGTAAAAGTAAGTACATGTTTGTAACATTTGTTTGTTTTGATTGTTTAAAGGATAGGAAAGCAGTGTTTCTTTCAGGTTTAAATTTATCATGTAAAACTATGTGAAAATATATAACCACAAATAACATCAATAACTATATCAAGGTTTATTCTCTATTAGATTGAAGCAGTGCCCCAGGGAGGGTGCCTCTGCCTTGTGAAGAGGTTTAAAAAAGTTTTGTGACTACACTGCAGTACAGGAACAAGAATAATTATTTCTTCCAAGTGAGCAAGCTATCAAGCAAGCTTATCCTTTACTACATTACTACCTATATTAAATGGACTTCAAGTTGCTAATCTTTCAATCTAGACAAAACCATTTAACAGTTTTAGAGAAACTTTTATATGTGCTGAATGAAAAGTGAATAGTGCAGACTATGATCAGATGTCACAGATATGCCAGCTGATCTTGGTCTGCACATGTCACATTGGTAGATTCAATTGTGGCTTGCAGGTTTGGGGTTATAGAAGTTCATTGGTTCTACTCAGTTGTCTGCCTGTGCTTGAAATAATGCTGGGATTTGTACCAAAAGTTTTCCTTCTCTTGTAATGTTGATAAGTTTTCATTTTTTTTCATCAGTGTGAGTACAAGTAAAGAATGAACAAAAAAGAAAAGAAATCGTTATATTTACTATAAAAAACATAAAATTGTCTAGGATTCAAGCACATGTACTAGGAAACAAAATATATTGAATTGTAAAAGATTATTATAGTTGACCTTGAATGCATTATACTCATAATATCAGGATTGTGAAATCTTGAAAAAAATTCTACTTCACAAAATGTGGTTATAGGATGTAGGTGGTTTTACTCAGCTGCCTGGTAATGCCTGAAATAATGCACAGAAGTCTTCCTCTACCAATTCAGCTTGATCATCAGTTTAGTTGTGTTGGTGTGACATTAAAACCTTACAAAAAAATTAAACAAATACTATCGAACATGTACCTGCTTAAGGTGCATCATCTTATAAGATGCAGCCTTTTAATGTAAACCCTCGTATTGGAAGAGTCATGTTTTTGCTGAAACACCTAAAATCTGCATTGGTTCTGCTGTGCAAAATCAGCCGGAAATTCATTATTCTTTTTATGATTTGTTCTCCTTTTCTTTCTTGTGAATGTAGATTACCCAGGAGCCATCCAGACAGAAGTTGTTACCTGATCCACTAACATACCCTTATATTCAGCCACCATATACTCTAGTGATAGAACTTACTGATGTTCTTGTTCATCCTGAATGGACTGTAAGTATGGAAATAATGAGGGAATCTAAGTGAGCTATAAACAGAAGTTCAGATAATGCACTGAAATCACATTACGAAGGACATTTGTTAAAGAGAATATTTTATAAAAAATTAAAAAAAACAACAACAAAAAACAAGATAAAAAAATATGAAAAAAGCTAGATTAAATAAATGTTAATGTGTTAACGCTGTCAATTTCTATTCAAACATGCATTTAGAAAGAAGAGAATGAATGCAAATAACATGAATTCATTCAGATTTGATTTAAAGTACTGGTACTTCACTTCACTTGGTCTTTCAACAAATTTAAAACAAAGTATTAAATAGCTCCAATTCTGCAATATCACTGAATTAAGATATGTTGCTGTAAACAAAACTTTAGGAAAAATTATTGTATGAATTGCATTCTAACAAGGACAACTGTCTCACTTTGTAAAACAAAGATGATGTTCTGAATTTAATTATCTTGTTAAACATACAAAAAAAAATTGACTTGTCATATTTTGTTTGATTATACATGTTGAAAGACAGAGGGGAATCTGAAGTCTTCTTCCACCTGCCATATGACCATTACAGTTTTGGTGAAACCTAAAACCCAACAACAACAATAACAATTGTCTAAAGATAAGAATTTTCAAGTAAATCGTATATAAGTATTATAAATTTCAGTATAAAACTATATTTTATTTAAAATTATAACTTTCAGTATAAAACAGGCTGGAGATTTAAGAAACGTCCAGGGATTGACTATTTCCTTCGAGCTGTTGGCCCTCCTACTTTTGAAGTGGTTATTTTTACAAAAGAGTCTGGAATGGTAAGTAGTTAACAAGTCTTACAGCAAACTTTAGAATTGTATGCCAAGGGCAACTAATTTTGCCGATTTCACCTCTGTTGGAACTCTCATATACAGGTTTAAATTCTGCAACATTGAATTTCTTGTGTTAATTTTAGTCGTTGAGGTGCTCAGGTTAGCTGTTTGTGCCTGAAATAATAGGAGAGACTTTCAAGGTGTCAGTCCACCAATAAAGTTTGAAAGTCACCATATAATATACAAAATGTTGCCCAGAATGGGATCCAGCTTAATTGGAAATGTTATGCCATCCTGTAAAATGATACAGTTTGGTTTTGCACTTGAAATATCAAGCACTGAGAATAGTCGAGTATGCTGTCCTACCTACAGCTCTTGTTCAGCTGAATAGTTGCTGAATGTGATCGACTTGTTCCCTGATTCCTTAAAGGTGTGATTTCTTTCATTACGTTAAAGTTCTGGTAGTATAAAATACCATGCCAGTTGTAAGGATCTTCTACTGAACTACAGGTGATTCACAAAGGGTACTGCTCCAGTTAGCCAGCTGGAATATTATTATCTAACCAGTATTCTTGCATAAAATCTGTGCATGTAGGTATACATTAATGGAGAAGAAAACACGCATTAACTAATGAAATTATGCAAGCATGCGCTGTTATTGCATGTTTCTTTAATTGTGTGACTCTGAGCCCAATGTTAAAAAAGCCTACTGCAATGACAGCCCTGGAGTTTCATTATCAAAAAATAACTGTTAATTACATTGCACTGGCATGTGGAAAGCATGATAAGTGTGGGAAGGGGTTATACAAGAAATATTTATCGGAAAGTGGAATTATCTTATTAGAAATACACTTTTGTGCAAGAATAGCCCTAATTCATATTTTTACAAGCATTGACATTTGTAGAAGCAAGTGGGTGCACTTAAAGCCTAAGTCCTCGGACTTACTAAATCCCTCGCCCTGAGGGTTTGTGCATTAAATGCATCATCTTGCTTCTACAGATTATAATACATGAAAAAAGATGCATTAACCCTCTATTGTAATGATATGGATGATATGCTTTAGAACAATGCAAGACTTTAGGTAAATTATGAAACATGCAGACTTGGAAATGGTTGCATTGCACTTATGCAAAAAATGTAAAATTACACAATTAGACTACCTGCCGCACTGAAGTGATATAACAGGATACAGTTTCAGTTACCTAGAACACATGGCTAAATTAGCCGGCTAAATTAGCCATGTTGTCATGGCTTCAACTTTATTATAAATATAAATATGGTAAACCTGGTCACTTAGTGTTAATTATTTATTTCAGACAGCTGATCCAATTATAACAAAGATTGATCACGAAAACTTTATCATGTACAGATTATATAGAGATGCTACACGGTACCAAGATGGAGAACATATAAAGGTATACACTTGGTTTCCCTTACTTCAAATATGCATTGTATCATAATATATAACCATTTCCCACATGGATACATGGTTTAACGCATAGCGACGGATGCACAACCAGATCAGCCTGCACCTCCATGCAGTCTGATCAGTATCTCCACTGTTCACTTTTCAGAGTCAGAAATTCTTTATAAATTTAAAAGTGAACAGTGGAAATACTGATCAGACTGCATGGATGTGCAGGCTGATCTTGTCGCACATGTGTTGAAACACATGTCCATGACTGTGAGAAAGGGATAATGTCATTGAACTGTAGAATTTTGGTTTCTGCATTGCACTTTGGAAGGTAAAGCGAAATAGAATAAACAAGAAATAATGATGTCCATTATGTATTATTAGTAATGTATATGAAGCCATGTTTGTTCATGTGGGCGGATAAAATAAAAAAAACCCAAATGTTTAGGTGCATTGTCATTTTATATTACATTGAATGAATACAAGAGATTGAATTTGCATTCAAGTTTTTATAGAATTAAAGAATTAACATATCTTAGTTTTTTGGTACATCATCATTTTCTTCTCTATTCAATAAGCAACTGAGGTAAATATTTGATATATTAACCTCAGTTAGAACAGAAAATGTTATAAATTAACTTCTTGTGGACAGACATCTCTCTTGTACATATTGTATTTTTCAAAAGCAAATTAAAAAAAGGTTATTGTTAAAGGTATCCAGATACAGGCAGGTGAAAGTAAAAATGGGAATGGTGCGGAAATTCGGCACTAAAATTTGTAAAATTGAGAGCTCTGCCTCTGGAAGTAAAGACTGTAAAGACGCACCATAAATAATGACCTTACCCATGTATTTGAGGTAACAATTTTTGTCGTTTCTTATTTCATCATAAAAACTTTATCTTGTCAGGATCTGAATTGTTTAAATCGTGATTTGTCCCGAGTAATAATGATAGATTGGAACAAAGACGCCTACAAACTCAACAAGGACAATGGGTTTCATATGGAGAAATGGTCAGGAGATATGAATGATACAGCTCTTGGTGAACTTGCAGAATTCCTCAGAGGTAAAAATTCACTAATTCTTTTTGAGAATTTCTCTACTGCCTTGTGAGAATGCTGAATTCTTTCCTTTGAAAATGTATACATTCATGAACATGTATATATAAATACCAGTGGAAAGTTGACAGTTCTACTTAAGTATTTGCTTGAACTTAATCAGAGCTTTGCAGCGCAAACGTCTTCAGATTCTTTCATGTGAGCTTTCTATCCAGCTAGCTTACGTGACATCAGTGGTTCTATTCAGGTGCTCGTTTGTGCCTGAAATAATGCACAGAGGGATCCATGAGGTCTTCCTCCAACAGTAAAGCTGGAAAGTGGCCATATGATCTATACTGTGTTAGTGCAACGTAAAACCCAATCCAAAAGAAAAATAAGCGTTTGGGAAATTAGCTTTCATGCTTCCAAAGTGCGCAGAGCAGACCAAGATTAGCCCCAACATGTTATCCAAGGTCTGATTCTGGTCTGCACTGTTTGCCTCTCAGTCAGTGCATATTTCAAAATATTTCCTAAAAAGATCAACGAGTTTGTCCAGATTGTAAGGTGTTTAGTGGGGTTAGGATTAAACCAACATGATGAGTATTATGTACATCTATATTGGTCTTCATAAACATCAAATACTGAACGCTTCACACTTACCTCAATAGGAAAAGCATCGGGATTTGTAATCTACTCGTCGCTGGTTCAATCCTTTGGCGCGGCATAATTAGCTTAAAAAAGAATGTACAGAAAGATTTGGTTTTAAAATGTTAGGGAAGGTCAAAACAGTTAACCTTAAACGGGGAAGGGACTGCATTTAGGGCGAAGTCAGGCGAAAAATTCACCCTATTTGATTGGAAAAGCAAAACTTTAGTTGCCCAAATATCTTTATGAAAGAGTGATTTCTCAGTCCAAGGTTACCCTTCAGTCCAAGGTAGTCCCTGATTACTTTTGAAAATTATTCTAAAAAAGAATTGAAAAATTTGTGCCTACTAGCACAATGTTGAAATTTAACTTCCTCATTAACTTGTTAACGATTACTGTCACCTTAGTGTTTTTGTTGTACATGTATATTTCTTCAACATTTTTGATTATTTTTACTTACAGCAATAGCTGTTAGTAAAGTAGATGATGTGAGACCAGTTCTCCAGTATTACAGCCAGTTTGATAATCCATTAGAAAAGTTCCATGAAAATCAGGCTAAACTCAAGGTAAGTGGTGCTATGGATTTCTTACAAGATTACTGAACTAAACAAATAGTGATGTCCAGTTTGTGAACAGATGTGTGTGTTATATAAACAGAATGCCAGTTATATGAACAGTGATGTTTGTTATGGGAAAAGAAATGTATCTTAAGGGGTGCTCCCATGGGAGTGATGTCTGTTATAGGAATAAATAGGCCGGTTATAGAAACAGAAATGTCTGTTATAGGAATAGTGATGCCTCTTACAGCCTTAAGTAATGTCTCTACAGGAAAATATAAACATTGAAGTCTTTTATTTCAACATGGAATTATTATATGAACCGTATCTGTTATATGAAAAGTGAGGTCTGTAGTATGAACAGACATGCCAATTTTAGAACCATTGGTATCGATTATATGAACAATGATATTCATTGAGAACTGGGATGTACCCCACCCCACTCTTGCTTAAGGTATTAGGACCCTAATGGGCAGTATCAGGAACTAAAAAATTGACATCATAAGTCAGATGTATACCTAAAAGTACACCTGTATGCAAAATTTAAACAAAGTTTACCGTACGGAAATCAAGTTATGGCCACTTTTCTGAACTCAAGCTAGGATGTTATGAGGGCCCTTTTTTAGAAAGTAGGAACCTTTAAATAATCTGCAATAACATTCTAATGAAAAATGTTTTCCCATTAATTTTGGTAAGAAACAAATAGTACCATTCAGCTAACAATCCAAATAAGCAAAATTATGGTTTCTACTTAAAGTTTATGAAATCTTTATAAAAATGTTACCCCACCCCACCCATTTTTACCACATGTCTGACCATTTTTTAGCTCACCTGTCACAAAGTGACAGGGTGAGCTTTTGTGATCGCTTTTCGTCCGGCGTCCGTCTGTCCGTAAACTTTTGCTTTAAATGACATCTCCTCATAAACCACTAAGCCAATTTCATCCAAACTTCACAGGAATGTTCCTTTGGTGGTCACCTTTAAAAATTGCTCAAAGAATTTAATTCCATGCAGAACTCTGGTTGCCATGGCAACCGAAAGAAAAAACTTTAAATATCTTCTTTTAAAAAACCTTAAGAGCTAGAGCTTAGATATTTGGCATGAAACATCTTCTAGTGAGTGTCTACCAAGTTTGTTCAAATAAAAGCCCTGGGGTCAAAATTGGCCCCGCCCCAGGGGGTCATTGATTTTCCCTATATGCATATAGTAAAAACTTAAAAAATCTTCTTTTAAAGAACCCAAAGAGCTAGAGCTAAGATATTTAGCATGAAACATGTTCTAATGGGTGTCTACCAAGTTTGTTCAAATAAAAGCCCTGGGGTCAAAATTGGCCCCGCCCCAGGGGGGGTCATTGATTTTCCCTATATGCATATAGTAAAAACTTAAAAAATCTTCTTTTAAAGAACTCAAAGAGCTATGGCTAAGATATTTAGCATCAAACATGTTCTAATAGGTGTCTACCAAGTTTGTTCAAATAAAAGCCCTGGGGTCAAAATTGGCCCCGCCCAAGGGGGTCATTGATTTTCCCTATATGCATATAGTAACTTCTTTTAAAGAACCCAAAGAGTTAGAGCTAAGATATTTAGCATGAAACATGTTCTAATAAGTGTCTACCAAGTTTGTTCAAATAAAAGCCCTGGGGTCAAAATTGGCCCGCCCCGGGGGGTCATTGATTTTCCCTATATGCATATAGTAAAAACTTAAAAAATCTTCTTTTAAAGAACTCAAAGAGCTATGGCTAAGATATTTAGCATCAAACATGTTCTAATAGGTGTCTACCAAGTTTGTTCAAATAAAAGCCCTGGGGTCAAAATTGGCACCGCCCCGGGGGTCATTGATTTTCCTTATATGTGTATAGCCAAAACTTAAAAAATCTTCTTTGAAAAAACCCAAATAGCTAGAGTTAAGATATTAAGCATGAAACATCTTTTAGTGAGTGTCTACAAAGTTTGTTCAAATAAAAGACCTGGGGTCAAAATTGGCCCCGCCCCGGGGGTCATTGATTTTCCTTATATGTGTATAGCAAAAACTTAAAATCTTCTTTGAAAAAACCCAAGTAGCTAGAGTTTAGATATTAAGCATGAAACATCTTCTAGTAAGTGTCTACAAAGTTTGTTCAAATAAAAGCCCTTGGGTCAAAACTGGCCCGGCCCCAGGGGTGTCATTGTTTTTAACTATATGTGTATAGTAAAAACTTAAAAAAAATCTTCTTTTAAAAAGCCCAATGAGCTAGAGCTTAGATGTTTAGCATGAAACATCTTCTTATGGGTGTCTACCAAGTTTGTGCAAATAAAAGCCCTTGGGTTAAAATTGGCCCTGCAACGTTGGGGGGGGGGGGCTATATACAGGTGAGCGACCTCAGGGCCATCATGTCTACTTAGAGAGCCTAATTTAAAAAATTCTTAAAATTTACCCAAATGAGTGCCTGTTTTCAAAGTTTCCCTAAATTTTTAAAAAAGTATATTGGTTGATCTTGTAAAATATGAAATACTTTTACCGTCTAGTTTTGATTATACTACATTTTGAAAATATCAGGTACCATATTTATTACTAGATTTAGTATAATTTAGCCAATAAATACCTATATAAATTAAAAAATCAAAATTAAACACTTTTTTTCTTTCCAAATGGGACATGAGAGATACATAAATAATGTTAAAAGAAAAAAAGAAAGAAAAAAAAAGTTGACCCTTCTGGGGATTGAACCCATGGCCCTCATTTTCAATGTAGTTAACAGTAGTTCTAGCCTATTTGAATACTCTTCATAGCGGAGGTAATGCATTAGGGTGCTAATACCTTAATCCCCCAATCAGTATAGTTAGTTGTACAATGTAGTTTTGTTAATGCATCCACAATTGCTGTGTCTAATTGCACTACTATAGAAGATGCAATACTTGTCCATTATCTGCTGGGTTCAAATAGTATTAGTGATGCTAAAATCTCTCTTTTGGACAAGAAGACATCCCTTTGGGTTACTAGAGGTATAGTTATCTTCTGAATTGAAAGAGGACACAGTGGACTTTTTCCTCCATGACAGCACAACAAAGGCCATATAATTGATGAAGTCTACATCATTTAGCTTAAGTAGAAAGGTAGCAAGCTGTATGAAGGAACTGGCTATACATTAATTATGAATTTAAAATGAATGTAAAGAGCAGCACCTATTACTCTTTTGTACCAGAAATATACCACGATTGTTGATTATTATTGTTTTCATGTGGCATAACTTTCATCATCATTATGAATTAAACTTGGAACTATTTTTTGTATTCAGGCAGAGCAAGAAAAACAAGCCCAATTACAACAGACACGTGATGCGAAAAGTGTGACCGGATTATGGAACAAGTTGAGGAGATGAAACATTTCACTAAATATGACAGACAATTTGAGTGTCGTAATAAAACATTTAAATGTTGTTATAAACATTATAAATGACAATTTGATTTTGTGATGCACTGGAAAACAGTCAACATAAAGAAGCTCTTGAGAAATAGAAAATATATTATTTCGTGCAGGCAGTGATTATTTACTAGATCTATTTATAGACATATACTGTATAAACTTGCCTAGAGGACAGTTTCTTTTTAAAAATAATAACGTTTTTTTTAATATAAAATTTAAATTTAACAATAAAATCAAATTTACCGTAATATAAGGTGAGGTATGATTAGCACTACATTTAGCAGTAAACTTAACACTTGAATCAGAAGTATATAATTCCTGTGATCTGCCAAGATGAGAAGTATATGGTATGTGTATATTTTTGACAGACAACAAGAAAATCATGGGTGTTTTACTTTCAATATAAAAGTGAAAAACGACACTGTCTGATAGCACTATGAATTATATGATAAAGTTTGACTGGTTGATAATATCAATCTAACTTTATAAGCTACCTGGGAAAAAAAATCAGGAGCAAATACGTTTTTGTTTTGTCTTCGTGTTCCATCCTGGTTTCCCTCAGTAACTTCATTTATAGACTGATATCTCCCATATTTGGTAGGTATATACTTGTATGGTCTTCTAACTTATGGTGAAGTGTGGATTACTAGTGTCAAGATCATTTGTGTTAAAAATAGATCCTTACACTTGCTATTACACCCATAATTTATTTAACAATGTCTTATATTTCATAAGAGCATACCTTGGTGGTTTCTGTATTTGATGCAAGTTTTTGGTCAAGGGCAAGGTCAGTGAAACTAAAAATAAAACTTTTCTAGAAGTAGAAGTACATATTCCTATGTACATGTATTTTGCATTGAAATAACAAAGATGCAAGTTTGGGGAGCATTCATCTTTTTTGCAATACATCTCGTTTTGTTTTAGAAAAAAAATACAGACAAAACAATGTGCCGACTTCTACTACATGAACTCATGACTTTGCTTTTTTTCGTAAACAATTTGTTTGAAATTAGATTCTTAAGTTATAGTTATGAGGCATGTGTAATAATTCAAAATTTTATCAAAACATGGGCAATTTATCTTAACTCTTGATCTGCTGAAAATAACATTTGTCAGCCTTTGTCACCTGTATCAGAGATGTTATTTATGTCTCTGCCTGTACATATTGCCTTTGCTAGGCAAGCAAGCTCTATTCTGCTCGTAACTTTTTTTGTATTTCTATATTGAAATCCCATAAAATTTGAAAACAATGTTCCAAATGCAAAGCTGGGCCTATCTATTACACTTAATCTGCAAGTTCAAGGTCATTGTTTTGTAACATGTTTGATGATATAGATGGAGGTGTTTGATGATGACACCGTAATTTGAAATATATTTCATGGTACTACATACTCAACATATTTTTCTTCCAGAAGTAACAATTTGCCTGGCTTGTAAATACAAACAATTACATTTTATTTTATGTTTTAATAAACAGTTTTAGACAGAAGTATTGGTTACAATAATGACATGTCTATAACCAGTATAGAGCCTGGTCTTGTAGTATATACATGCAAATAGACCAGGCTCTGCACGGAATCTACTAAGTATATGTTAGTGTTCTTAGGTGCTGTTCTACAGAAATGAGAAACTTCGATGGGGGCGATAGCAACAAGAGAATGTTTCTAATTTCTGTAGAACAGCTATGGATGAATACTTAAATACTTAATGTCAAGCTTCATTTGGTTTCGTTAATATTCACTTCATTACGTCACTACATGTCTACTTTTACGAACGCGGTTCTATGACGCACTATGAAAAATAGAAGGCTACTATGAACAGATTTTAATAATATAGTATCGGCTTTTGTTCTTCAATTAAAATTAACCCACAGAATTTTTAAGAAATGCAGCGTTTTCATTGGATGACAAAGCTGGACACTAATGGGATATTCATAGCCTAGTCAAAGCAATTACAGTCAGCAGAGTAAGGGGTTAAACTGGTTGCTGATGTTACCTGTTACAAGATTTTTTATGCCCCACAGAGTGGGAGCATATAGCGTTGCACTTGTCCGTCCGTATGTACGTCTGTCCGTCCCAAAATCTTGTGAACGAAACTCCTCTTAAACCGGATGGCAGACTTTGCTTAAACTTTCAGGGATGAACAACCTTAATGTGTAGATGGTAGTAAAGGAAGGAATTTTTGCTGCGACCAAATTTAACAGAATTATGGCCCTTTGTTGATTGTTTCACTATATACTATGTAGAAATCTTGTGAACGCAACTCCTCATAAACCGGATGGCAGATTTTGCTTAAACTTCAAGGGATGAACAACCTTAATGTGTAGATGGTAGTAAAGGAAGGAATTTTTGCTGCGACCAAATTTATCAGAATTATGGCCCTTTGTTGATTGTTTCACAATATACTATATAGAAATTTTGTGAAAGCAACTCCTCTTAAACCAGAAGGCAGATTTTGCTTAAACTTCAAGGGATGAACAACCTTAATGTGTAGATGGTAGTAAAGGAAGGAATTTTTGCTGCGACCAAATTTAACAGAATTATGGCCCTTTGTTGATTTTTTCACTATATACCATATAAATGTTGTCAGTGGGGGCATCCGTGTCCTTTGGACACAGATCTAGTTTATAAAATGGTTGTTGTTCAGAGTTTGTTGGTGTTCAGTGAATCAGTAGAACTATTTGCATGATAGGTTGGTTACAATGTAACATGAGGATAAATTGATGTTAAAGTATTGTTGTTGTGTATGATGTGTTGAATAATGATTGTATAACTTGCATTGTATTTTAATAAATCTGTTATGTATTTAGCATTTACAGAGATTTGCTTTTATTTGCACAGACTTATCATAAGCTTTATGAAAAGTATGCTTAACAGGTAGAAAAATTCTGTTAATAAAATGTATAAATTTAATATTTAGTTGAAAGATTGTTTTCATCATTTGTATGTATATATAATGTGAAATAAAGAACTCAACAAAATCAATTTCATACTTTTATGATGCTTTAGGAATTGTATTAAAAATATTACATTTTCAGTAGTTCCGCATTTTCCTTATAGCTCTGAACCATTTGAGCATTTTTATGTCCCCTCCCGAAGGGGGCAGCATATTAAAATCGCACTTCTGTCTACGAAGGGCGGCATACTAGTATTAAAATTGCATCATCTGTCCGTCTATGTGTCCTGACTTCATATGTGTCCGGACAGTAACTTTGTCATACAGTGAGAGAATTGAAATAGCTTGGCACAAATGTTTACTACATTAAGAGGATGTGTCGCGGCTAAGGCTCATGTCTGTCTGTGCATCCCCACTTACACAACATTCATGTCCAGACTGTAACTATGTTATGCATTGAGGGATTTTGAAATAACTTGGCACAAATATCTACCACATCACTAAGTTTTGTCGCATCCAAGAACCACGACTCTTCTTCAAAGGTCAAGGTCACACTTACATTTTGAAGGTTCATGCTATCACAATTAGAGTTTATAGGTACACATTGGTGTCCCGACTGTAACTTTGTCATGCATCAAAGGATTTTAAAATAACTGGGCATGACTGTCTACTACATCCAGACGATGTGTCGGGACCAAGACCCATGTCCCTACCTTCAAGGTCACACATTCCTGTCAGGACTGTATCTTTGTTGTTCATTGAAGGATTTTTAAATAACTTGGCAGAAGTGTCTACCACATCCAGACAATGTGTCGCAGCTAAGGTCCATATCACTACCTAAACGGTCAAGGTCACACTTAGTGGTTGAAGGTACACATTTGTGTCCAAACTTGCTTTGTCCGGCATGGAAGGATTTTAAAATTCCTTGGCACAAAAGTCAAACACATCATGGTGATGTGTTTCATTTAAGACCCATGTCCATTAGTCAAATGTCACGGTCACACAGTTTGAAGGTTTCACATTCTCACAAGTAGAGATACACACATTGTGTCTGGACTATAACTTTTTTATGCACCAAAGGATTTTTAAATAAAGTAGCATGTGAAAACGATGTGTGGCGTTCAAGACCCATGTCATTACCTCCAAGGTCACTCTTACAGTTAGAAGGTACTCATTTTCTAAAGAAGAGTTTGAAGATGCACATTTGTGTCTGGACTGTAACTCTGTCATGCATTTGAAAAGTTTTAAAATACCTTGGCACAAATGTCTACCATATCAAGATGACATGTTGTGTGTAAGACCCATGTTACTACCTTCAAGGTCATAGCCACTCTAATAGTATGAAGGTACTTATGCTCATAAGAACAGTTTGAAGGTGCACATTAGTTTCAAAAATGTAACATTGTCATGCATTGAAGGATTTTAAAGTAACTTTGCATAAATGTCTACCACATCAAGATGATGTGTCGCATCCAAGGCACATGGTGATAAAACTTAAAAAACTTTTTTTATGGGGGGGGGGGGGATTTGTCACTTTTCGTGTCAGCTCTTGTTTTATGCAAAACTATCCATAGATCATTCCAGAAGAGTATCATCAAAATTTACCAAATACCCGGTAATTAAGGAATGGGTCTTGTTTAAAGTTTCTTTTCTAATTTTAGCTCTGGTGGCCATCTTGTTCAGCAGACCAGAACAATTTGAGCAATTTCTATAAAAGCTCATTTAAGGATCATTCCAGTATGTACAAAAGTTTGAGTTCCTTGGGAAAGGGCAACTAGTACTGGAAAACTTCTTGACAGCCTGTCATGGAATGAGGCGGTGGTTGGACTGTGGTCTGGTAAATTCAATGTTGCTTACTGTTGTGATCCCGAGTAAAAACTGCCTCCACCATCATTCCAGTAAATTAATTCACCAAAATCTACAGACAGTTAAGAGATCTCATTTAAAGTTGCTGTTTTTATCATGCTCCCCGAAGGGAGAGCATATAGTCGCCTAAGTAACATTGTGATGGACGGAAGACAGACGCCGGGCGTCGAACACACGAGTGTCATTATAGCTCACAATGACTTGACAAAAAACATGTAATTCAGGATTATAGTAGGATGGTCATGTATGTTGTATCGATGTATACGATATCCACGGTAACCTTCATATAGTGGTCACTTGTTGAAATAACAACCATTTTAGTTTATCCAACTATAGACAAGTTAAATGACTGTGCCAACTTGGGGAAA